AAGGGGTTATTAGCCCCTTGCCCCAGGCATTTTAGCCACCTCTTATGACATGCATGGCTTACAGAGGAAGAATTCTTCTCCACTTCCCCATGAAGTTAATGTATTTATATTCCTACTAAACTAAAAGCCTGAAAATGACTCAATTAGGAAGCACAATAAAATCTCACCAACCATCAATTAAAGCACGTATCTTTTTCTTGTCCTCTTCTTCAAGGTTTTCCCAGCCATCAATATCTTCCACAGGATCTTCTATCTTCTTAGTAGTGGCTCGGGCACGCTTGAACATGTCAAATATGCAATCAACATGATGCCACTGCTTCATTTCTCCTCCAGATTCAGAAAATGGGTTTGGAACAATCTTGCCAATCCGAAGAACTCCTACAAAATATGACAGTAACAACGCAAGAAAATATCCACTACTTTATTATTTTATAATTGCTCCAATACCTAATGCAACAACTTTTAGAATTAATATTATCATATTATTAACCCTTTCGAACCAGAGTTTTTGACATACTAGTACACCTAAATTCTAGCACCCTCAAATCTAGCGAGAGAAAGCTGGTAGGCCTACATATGAAAGAATGGGTCTATGTGGTCAGTGTGCATGGTATAAAAAAAATCCTGCAGCACACAGTGTGTAATGAGAAAAAAAAACTTTGACCGTGTTTTTGGATTAAAACAGCGACTTTGCACTGCATTTTCGTATGGTATTTATTGCTGTATTCTAGTTTTCCTGGTCTCATTTTATAGAATGGAAGACATATTACAAAAATTGAGATGATTTTGACTGGTTTTTACAAAGAAAAGTACCTTGAAATTGAGCTCAAAGTAGCAGAAATGTTCGATTTTTACCAAAGTTCAAAAGTAAACAAATCATGCTATGCGTCCAATACACGTCAACTGGTGAGTCTAATATTCTTTCACAAGTGAGCTGATATTATTTATACCATTTCTACACCAATGCAATAGTCGGCATAACAGTAAATCTTCTATTTTTTTTGTGAGAATAAAAATTCAAAGTAGAAAGCAAAAGAATGTAAGAGGGGTATGGGGACATGACTTATGAACAGAGGAAATGCTATTTTAGTGCCAGGAATGTCTTTCTTGTTTATTCTGAACCCTATTCTGAAATTGGCATCTTTTGAAATTTGTGTGAAATTGGTAAAATTGCTAAATTCTGACCACTGTACTGGATAGTTGAAATCGGTAAATGGGTGTTTTCTTGTACTCATTCGATAGAAAAAATGGAGTTCTAGCGAAATAGTTATGACTGTTGTCGACAAGTACGCTGGAACTGGCCGAAAATAGGGCTCAAAGTGGACAAAATCGCTGATGTGTAAACATCGTCGAGACCGCTAACTTCGCGAGAGCATAATTCCGTAAGTTTTCCATCAAATTTCATACTTTTGGTGCCATTATGATCAGGAAAAGATTCTCTATCTTTTCGTAAGAAAAATAATTTTTTTTTTTTTTAAATTTGGCCGACCCTGAGAACAAGTTTCTGAGAGGGTCTGTCGACCCTGAAAGGGTTAATGGTATACAATAACATCACATAATGACTAGTTTTATGAAAATATTCTTAAATCCTAAGAGAGAAGAGTATAAAAATATGTGTATTATTTTCAAGATCTATGTCAGAATATCAAGAATGGAAAATTGTGCACAAAAACTAGACATGCATTCATGTGTATATGCATGCAAATATGTACCCTGGGAACAACTGATCATAACCACAGTGAAGCAATATAAAGAAAGTACCTGCACCTCAATTAGGCCCGGTGGCCTGGTGGCTAAAGCTCCCGCTTCACACACGGAGGGCCCGGGTTCGATTCCCGGCGGGTGGAAACATTTCAACACGTTTCCTTACACCTGTTGTCCTGTTCACCTAGCAGCAAATAGGTACCTGGGTGTTAGTGGACTGGTGTGGGTCGCATCCTGGGGGACAAGATTGAGGACCCCAATGGAAATAAGTTAGACAGTCCTCGATGACGCACTGACTTTCTTGGGTTATCCTGGGTGGCTAACCCTCCGGGGTTAAAAATCTGAACAAAATCTTATCTTATCTCTTATCTCTAGGCTATGAGAAGATGCAGGTTTCAAACAAGAATCAAAAGGACCCCCAAATATGTAGATAATAGGACAAGACCAGATGGGTCCCATGTGGGTAATGCTGATTAAAATGAAATAATTCTTACTGGAATAAATCTTTAATGACTGATGCAAAGAATGAAACTGACAAAAAGCTATTTGGGCACAGGCTGTGCAGGTCCAAATCCTGTGAGATCTGAGGCAATAACTAGGGAGCACATCTGGTCACCTTTAAACTTTTTTAACCCTTTGACTGTTTTGGTCGTATATATACGTCTTACGAGCCACCGTGTTTGACGTATTTATACAGTGGACCCTCGACCAACGATGGCATTGATTAACGATAAATCTGACTAGCGATACATTTTAACGCAAAAATTTTGCCTCGACTAGCGCTTAAAAACCTGACCAGTGCTATTTGTTTCGTACCATACGCGTCCACTTTGGCCTGAGCGCGCCTCACTTGTCCCTTGGGTGCCAGTGTTTACAAGCCAGCCAGCCACCGCGGTCGCTTCCAAACATACAACTGGAACATTTCATATTATCACAGCCTTTTTAGTGATTGCACCTGCAAAATAAGTCACCATGGGCCCAAAGAAAGCTTCTAGTGCCAACCCTACAGCAAAAAGGGTGAGAATTACTATGGAGATGAAGAAAGAGATCATTGATAAATATGAAAATGGAGTGCGTATCTCTGAGCTGGTCAGGTTGCATAATAAACCCCAATCAACCATCGCTACTATTGTGGGCAAGAAAACGGCAATCAAGGAAGCTGTTCTTGCCAAAGGTGCAACTATGTTTTCGAAACTGAGATCGCAAGTGATAGATGTTGAGAAACTTTTATTGGTGTGGATAAACGAGAAACAGATAGCAGGAGACAGCATCTCTCAAGCGATCATATGTGAAAAGGCTAGGAAGTTGCATGACGATTTAATTAAAAAAATGCCAGATGTGAGTGAATTTAAGGCCAGCAAAAGTTGGTTTGAGAGATTTAAGAAGCGTAGTGGCATTCATAGTGTGATAAGGCATGGTGAGGCTGCCAGTTTGGACCACAAATCGGCTGAAAAATATGTGCAGGAATTCAAAGAGTATATAGACAGTGAAGGACTGAAACCTGAACAAGCGTTTAATTGTGACGAAACAGGCCTGTTTTGGAAGAAAATGCCAAGCAGGACCTACATTACTCAGGAGGAAAAGGCACTCCCAGGACATAAGCCTATGAAAGACAGGCTTACTCTGTTGATGTGTGCCAATGCTAGTGGTGATTGCAAAGTGAAGCCTTTATTGGTGTATCACTCTGAAACTTCCAGAGTGTTCAGGAAAAACAATGTCCTCAAAGCTAATTTGTGTGTGCTGTGGAGGGCAAACAGTAAGGCATGGGTCACTAGGGACTTTTTCTATGACTGGTTACATTGCATTTGCCCCCAATGTGAAAAATTACCTAATTGAAAAGAAATTAGACCTTAAGTGCCTCCTGGTATTAGACAATGCTCCTGGTCATCCTTCAGACTTGGCAGAGCGACTTTCTAGGGACATGAGCTTCATTAAGGTGAAGTTTTTGCCTCCTAATACCACTCCTCTCCTGCAGCCCATGGACCAGCAGGTTATTTCCAATTTCAAGAAACTGTACACAAAAGCTATGTTTGAAAGGTGCTTTGTAGTGACCTCAGAAACTCAACTGACTCTAAGAGAGTTTTGGAAAGATCATTTTACCATCCTCAATTGTGTAAACATTATAGGTAAGGCTTGGGAGGAAGTGACTAAGAGGACATTGAACTCTGCTTGGAAAAAAGTGTGGCCAGAATGTGTAGAGAAAAGGGATTTTGAAGGGTTTGAGGCTAACCCTGAGAATCCTATGCCAGTTGAGGAATCCACTGTGGCATTGGGGAAGTCCTTGGGGTTGGAGGTTAGTGGGGAGGATGTGGAAGAGTTGGTGGTGGAGGACAGTGAAGAACTAACCACTGATGAGCTGCTAGATCATCTTCAACAGCAAGAGGGCACACCTGAGGAAACTGCTTCGGAGGAGGGGAGAGAGAAATTGAAGAAGTTGCCTACTTCTAAGATAAAGGAAATGTGTGCAAAGTGGCTTGAAGTGCAAACCTTTTTTGATGAAAATCACCCTGACACAGCTACTGCAAGCCGTGCTGGTGACTATTACACTGACAATGTTGTGAACCACTTTAGGAAAGTCATAAAGGAACGAGAGGTACAGGCCTCTATGGACAGATATGTTGTGCGACAGAAGTCCAGTGACTCTGAAGCTGGTCCTAGTGGCATTAAAAGAACAAGGGAAGTAACCCCAGAAAAAGACTTGCTGCCTCAAGTGCTAATGGAAGGGGATTCCCCTTCTAAACACTAACACCTCTCCCCTCCTCCCATCCCATCAATCATCACCAGATCTTCAATAAAGGTAAGTGTCATGTAACTGTGCATGTAATCTTCAGTTTGTGTGTATTAAAATTAATATTTCATGTGGTTAAAAAAATTTTTTTTTTCAATACTTTTGGGTGTCTTGCACGGATTAATTTGATTTCCATTATTTCTCATGGGAAAAATTAACTTGACTAACGATAATTCTGACTAACGATGAGCTCTCAGGAACGGATTAATATCGCTGATTAAGGGTCCACTGTACTCAAATTCCAGCGGCTTCAAATCAAGCAGGAGAAAGCTGGTAGGCCCACATGTGAGAGATTGGGTCTGTGTGGTCAGTGTGCACCATATAAAGAAAATCCTGGAGCACGCAGTGCATAATGAGAAAAAAAAACTCAGACCGTGTTTTTTTTTTTAATTAAAATGCCGACTTTGTGGTCTATTTCCGTATAGTATTTATGGTTGTATTCTCATTTTCTTGGTCCCATTTGATAGAATGGAAAACGTATTATAGAAATAGAGGTGATTTTGATTGGTTTTACTATAAAAAGAACCTGGAAATGGAGCTCAAAGTAGGGGAAATGTTTGATTTTTGCTGATGTTCACAAGTAAACAAATGATGTCATTGTCCAATAAATTACCAACTAGCCATTCTAATATGCAGTCATGAATGGGTTGACATTATCTGCACAATTATTACAGTATTGCAGTAGTCTGCATAACAGTAAATCTTCTATTTTTTGCTTGAATAAAAATTCAAAATAGAAAGCAAAAGTAATATCAGAGGGGCCTAGAGATGTGACTGATGAACAAAGAAAATGTTATTTTAGAGCCAGGAATGTCTGCACTGTTCATTCTAGACCTTATTTTGAAATTGTCATATTTTTTAATTTTCATGAAATTGGCCAAATTGTAAATTTCTGACCACGTTATTGGGTAGTTGAAATCGGTAAATGGGCAGTTTCTTGTACTCAATCGATAGAAAAAATGGAAGTTCTAAAGAACTGCTATGAGTTTGGTCGACTGGAACAATGGAATTAGCCGAAAATAGGGCTCAAAGTGGGCGAAATCACCGATTTGTAAATATCGCTGAGGTCGCTAACTTCGCGAGAGCATAATTCCGTCAGTTTTTCATCATTTTCGTTCTTTTGGTGTCATTATAATCGGGAAAAGATTCTCTATCATTTCATGAGAAAAAATTATTATTTTTTTTTTTTTAAATTTTGCGACACCAGGAGACACCTCAGGATTGGGGGTTGTGACAGTCAAGGGGTTAAGTTGTAAATTTTATTGTGCCTCTTTTATTAGTCCAATTAGTTTCTGTGAAACAGCTAAAAAAAATGTCTTTTGTAATCAGAAATAAGTCAGTGTTTGTTTATTGCTATATCTTAGGTTAAATCTACATAATGTACTTTTGTGCCTATAATATGTGCACCCTCAACACCACTGAAAAAAATTGGTAGGTTATGTATACAAAGCTTAAGTAGAACTTTTTTATTTACCATATTTTCCAGCACACAAGGCATGCCTTTGCACCACCCAAAAAAGAAGTCTCAGAAAACCACCCTGTGCTTTATATGCTCAAGGTCAGGAACACTAGCAGGCCTTGGGTTACTAGCACAGGTGGTTTCAGTGCCGCAATACCTGTAAACTGAACTCCAAACAACTCTTCCTACATAACTGTTTCCCAAATTACCTTAGAGTGAGTGGTAACCATTATAAATTACAATTTACATAATACTGGTACCATCTGTAAACAACAGGTATCCATATTTCTTTTGGTAGCTGGTGATGGTGGAGTAGATGACAGATTACACAGACCAGAGACTGGTGGAGCAAGAAAGTTTCTCAATAAAACTGTTTAACCTACATTGAAATATTTGTTTCATTGACAAAGGCATGAAGTACCATACAACACTATTCATATCTGTCTAATGACAAATATGAGTACTGATTTACCATCATCACCAGTGGTGATGATGACTAGTGTTAGTGGTAATGGCTTACCAGCATCTACAGCTCACCTTCAACTCACTAGGCCTAGCAAGTACCTTTTTTTTTTTCCAGAATACACCTGTCAAAATTAGGGTGTGCCTTAATGCTGTGCACATTACGTGCCAGAAAATATGGCACCTAACCCATAAATGCTTATCAATTTTCTTAGAGCAAAGTTTGAATTGATTTTGGTTTTGTGTAGGTCCCATTTTGCCTTTTATGGAAGAAACTATGGAAATTTAAAAACTTGGTACTGTTTCTCATGCAATAATTTTGAGTGCCTCAGCTGATTAGATCAACCTTCCAAAACTGATAACTAGATAATACAACTTCCGAGCAGATTCAAAATTAATTTGCTAGTGTATTTTATGATACTGGTCTCTGATATGACAAGAGAACAACCCTTTAGTTTACCTTCAAAGCAGGTTTTTTTTAGTGGAAAGTCAGAATTAGATCTGGGCTATGTATGTCTTAATTTACCATTTCATTGAAAAAATTAGTACGTTTACTTTCCATGTGATGACTGTGTATACCTCTTCGTAATTAGCTTCAAAACTACATTGCTAATGTTGACATGCTTTAGAAACTCATGCTGGACTCTGTACACTTCTTACTGTATGCACTGAGGGACAGGAGGCTGGGAGTTATGCATCAACACAAGAACCTCAATCCCCCCACCCCCCAGCCCAGTATGCCCACATCAACCCTCTCCACACACTTTTATTTCAAGGCCTAATACTACCAGAATGTAAGAAAAGTTCAACACAATAATTTTATTCCAGTGCTATAATAAAAAAAAATTGCCAAATTTGGAAGTATTGGAATTAACTTTATGTGCCAATTTTCAGGATTATAACCCCGCATATGAGAGAGTTTAAAGTAGATGTCTGGTGTCCTTGCCACTGTCCTTATATAATCCCTGATCATATCCTAATGTTCAACAAAACAAAAATTATTTACCTTTTTCACATTTCTCCTTGCACTTCTTGCATTTTGCTGCACCCCTCTTGTCATATTTGCACAGAATGGTAATGATGACATCTCTGAAAGCCCAAGCTTCTTTGCACAAATGAATGATAAAGAAACACGGTCTGAAACTTTATCTGGATATGGAGGAGACTTGATGAAAAGTCTTGAAGTTTGTAATTTAAAGAATCTTTCTGGTGATGCTATGCGAATGTGACACAAGCAGGTTCTAAGGTTCTCTTGTAAAACAACACCAATGAGACAAACTGCTGGCAAGATCTATCAAACTGACATGCTAAAGTCAGTGCTCTTGCTATCATTGGATTTACACCTGCCAAAAGAAATAACACCTGTCAAGAGAATACAGCACAATTATTAATGACAATTTTCAATTAACTCAATAAACATAAAATAAGAAAAATGAGAATACCCTTAACATCCATTACATCTGTTAATGGTTCTGGAGATAACTGTCCCAGTGTTACATCCAGAACCCTAAATTGCAAAGGAAATATTACAGTACAGTGGACCCTCGCCTAACGAACGCATCGCATAACGTTAAATCCACCTAGTAGTACATTTTAAAGCAAAAATTTTGCCTCGCCTAGCGCTAAAAAACTCGCTCAACGCGATTTGTTCGAGACACGTCCACATGCAGCCTGAGCCAGCCTCACTTGTTCCGTGGGTGGCAGTGTTTACAAGCCAGCCACCGCGGTCATCACATCCAAGCATACAATCGGAACATTTCATATTATCACAGCGTTTTTAGTGATTTCACCTGCAATATAAGTGACCATGGGCCCCAAGAAAGCTTCTAGTGCCAACCCTACAGAAAAAGGATGAGAATTACTATGGATATGAAGAAAGAGATCATTGCTAAGTATGAAAGTGGAGTGCGGGTCTCCGAGCTGGCCAGGCTGTACACAAAACCCAATCAACCATCGCTACTATTGGGCCAAGAAAACGGAAATCAAGGAAGTGTTCTTGCAAAGGTGCAACTTTGTTTTTGAACAGAGATCGCCAAGTGATAGAAGATGTTGAGAGACTGTTATTGGTGTGGATAAACGAAAAACAGATAGCAAGAGATAGCATCTCTCTCAAGCGATCATATGTGAAAAGGCTAGGAAGTTGCATGACGATTTAATTAGAAAAATGCCTGCAACTAGTGGTGATGTGAGTGAATTTAAGGCCAGCAAAGGTTGGTTTGAGAGATTTAAGAATCGTAGTGGCATACATAGTGTGAAAAGGCATGGTGAGGCTGCCAGTTCGGATGACAAAGCAGCTGAAAAATATGTGAAGGAATTCAAGGAGTACATAGAGGCTAAAGGATTGAAACCTGAACAAGTGTTTAATTGTGACAAAACAGGCCTGTTTTGGAAGAAAATGCCAAGCAGGACCTACATTACTCAGGAGGAAAAGGCACTCACAGGACATAAGCCTATGAAAGACAGGCTTACTCTGTTGATGTGTGCCAATGCTAGTGGTGATTGCGAAGTGAAGCCTTTATTGGTGTATCACTCTGAAACTCCCAGAGCGTTCAGGCAAAAGAATATCCTCAAGGCTAATTTGTGTGTGCTGTGGAGGGCAAACAGTAAGGCATGGGTCACTAGGGACTTTTTCTATGACTGGTTACATCATGCATTTGCCCCCAATGTGAAAAATTACCTAATTGAAAAGAAATTAGACCTTAAGTGCCTCCTGGTATTAGACAATGCTCCTGGTCATCCTTCAGACGTGGCAGAGTGACTTCCTGCAGACATGAGCTTCATTAACATCAAGTTTTTGTCTCCTAATACCACTCCTCTCCTGCAGCCCATGGACCAGCAGGTCATTGCAAACTTCAAAAAACTGTACACAAAAGCTCTGTTTGAAAGGTGCTTTGTAGTGACCTCAGTAACTCAATTGGAGAGATCACTTTAATATCCTCAATTGTGTAAACCTTATAGGTAAGGCTTGGGAGGAAGTGACTAAGAGGACCTTGAACTCTGCTTGGAAGAAACTGTGGCCAGAATGTGTTGACAAAAGGGATTTTGAAGGATTTGAGGCTAACCGTGAGAAGCATATGCCAGTTGAGGAATCCATTGTGGCATTGGGAAAGTCCTTGGGGTTGGAGGTTAATGGGGAGGATGTGGAAGAGTTGGTGGAGAAGGACAATGAAGAACTAACCACTGATGAGCTGTTAGATCATCTTCAACAGCAAGAGGCCACACCTGAGGAAACTGCTTTGGAGGAGGGGAGAGAGAAATTGAAGAAGTTGCCTACTTCTAAGTTTAAGGAAATGAGTGCAATGTTCCTTAAAGTGCAAACCTTTTTTGATGAAAATCACCCTGACACAGCTATTGCAAGCCGTGCTGGTGACTATTACACTGACAATGTTGTGAAACACTTTAGGAAAGTCATAAAGGAACAAGAGGTACAGGCCTCTATAGACAGATATGTTGTACAACAGAGGTCCAGTGACTCTCAAGCTGGTCCTAGTGGCATTAAAAGAAGAAGGGAAGTAACCCCGGAAAAGGACTTGCTACCTCCAGTCCTAACGGAAGGGGATTCCCCTTCTAAACACTAAGACCATCCACACACTCCCCTCCTCCCATCCCATCAGTCATCACCAGATCTTCAATAAAGGTAAGTGTCATGTAATTGTACATCTCTTCTTCAGTTTGTGTGTATTAAAATTAATATTTCATGTGGTAAAAAAAATTTTTTTTCATACTTTGGGGTGTCAGGAACGGATTAATTCGATTTCCATTATTTCTTATGGGGAAAATTAATTCGGCTAATGATAATTTCGCCTAACGTTGAACTCTCAGGAACGGATTAATATCGTTATGCGAGGGTCCATTGTAATAAGAACTAGTAAGAAAGTATGTGTAAGTGAATAATGAATGTAACAAAAAGTTTGAAAGATTTACTTGCCATCTTAACCCTTTCAGGGTCCAGAGGCCAAATTTCAAAGTGCACACCAGGGTCCAAGAATTTAAAAAAAAAAATTTGTTATTTTTTCTTATGAAATGGTAGAGAATCTTTTTCTGAAGGTAATAAAACAAAAAACATGAAATTTGATGGAAAATTGACGAAATTATGCTCTCGCAAATTTTGATGTGTCAGCGATATTTACGAATCGGCGATTTTGCTGAATTTGACTCCCAATTTAGGCCAATTACATTACTCCAGTTGACCAAATTCTTAGCTATTTCACTAGTATTACTTCTATTCTATCGACTGAGCACAAGAAATCGCCAAGTCAACTGTTTCAACTGCAAAATAAAGTGATCGGAAATTGGTAATTTGGCCAATTTAACGCAAAGTTCAAAATATTCCAATTTCAAAATAGGGTCCAGAATAAACAATGTAGGTATTCCTGGAACTAAACTAACATTTCCTCTGTACGTGGAGTGTGACATAAGTGTAAGTAGAAGTAGCAAGATGTACCTGAAATCTTGCATGTTTATGAGACAGAAAAAAGACACCAGCAATCCTACCATCATGTAAAACAAATACAGGCTTCCTTTTTACACTCACTTGGTAGGATGGTAGTACCTCCCCGAATGGTTGCTGTCTACCAACCAACCAAATGCTTAACCTATAGGTGTCACAGAGTTTGGAGAATGGGAGGCAATCAGATATAAACTAAGGAGGTAATGCAGTAGCTCCAATTCCTTAGATCAAGAATCCTTCACCAGCACCAAGGCACCCTCTCTTACCTCACAAGCTTAAGCACACTGGTGTACCCCCCCCCTCAAAATATGGCGATACAAAGAGAAATTTTCCTTTGTCAAAGCATAACAAGCCCATGGCACTCCAAGTAGTGCTGAGTGAACAATACTATTCATATAACTTTCTTGTGAATATAATAATAATAATAATAATAATAATAATAATAATAATAAGAAGAAGAAGAAGAAGAAGAAGAAGAAGACGAAGAAGAAGACGAAGAAGAAGACGAAGAAGACGAAGAAGACAAAGAAGAAGACAAAGAAGAAGACGAAGAAGTGGAAGTGGAACAGAATTCTTTTTCTATCCATGTGCTCCTAAGAGATGACAAAAAATCCCGGGGAGAAAGGGGGTAGTAACCCTTCCCCCTGTATATATCACTAATTTTAAAAAAGAAAAACTTTATTTTTTTTTTTTTGGTCACCCTGCCTTTGGGTGGGATAGGGGTTTTTTAAAAAAAAATAAAATAGAAATTAATAGAGAATTCAAATATTTCAAAACCAAAACAAGTGAAGTGATGAAAATTTACTTAAATAAAAAAACAAGAAGCAATGTATATGTCCCTTTACAAGTCCAACCCCCTCATGCTCCCTGCAACCTTCAGGTTTTGAAATAAATTGTATTTTTTGGAGCCATGACTCAAACATAATATTGTTCACTAAAGTAAGGGATTCAGGTTTAATTCCAGCAAAAGTAAAAAGCGGGGATTTTCCCTTACACCTATTGTCCCTGTTTATAATAAAAAATGGGTATTTGGGTTAGCAAATTTTGCTAGATTACATCCTGGGAAGAGGACCCAAGAAAAAAAGTCGGGCTCACTCCTTAGGTTCCCCTTTATTATTATTATTTTTATTGTTATTGGTTATAGTTTTTGACTACTATTGGTGAAAATCCAGCAATATTTAATATAACTTACATACAGCCCATACACAGGAATAAGTAAGCAGTTTTTGTTAAATTGTTATTTTTTGGGGATAATGAAAATAGTTATGTATTTATTTTGATTTGCGATTCTGAGCCAAGAACCTATACTATTGTGTCACTGCATGCAATGCCAGACGTAAAAAAGACACAAAATTATTTCCCATGGCAGAAAGGGTTTAATAACTTAAGTTTATTTTACAGGTTGGGTTGGGGGTTTGTTGGTTTTTTTACAGTTTTTACCCTTTGTACAACAAGCGTTAATACAGGTCCGCCTCACAATCCCGCATCACTGGGACCTATAGTGGCGGGTTACTGATTTGCCCGGGTTTTTGAGTTTGCCGATTACAGAGTGGTTAGGTTAATAATTTAAAAAAATTAACCCGCTTGACTTACACAAAAAAACCCCAAACCTGGCAAAAATCGAACATTTTGTACTT